GTGGCCCAACTCATCATTGGCTCTGACTGGGGTCAGTAGAAGCTGGGGATGTCTCTGGGGCCCAGACGCCATGGAGAGGTGGAAGGCCTTGGGAGGGCCACCGGCTTCCTAGGGGCTGCTGCAGGCATCTGGCTGCTCCACCTCCCAGGGCTCTGGTGTGTGGAAGACTGAGGCCCGGCCTCACCTGGGGAGGGGGCCTGTGCAGGAGGGGATCCTGGTGACCTCCTTCCCCTCTCTGCTCCCACCCATCGCCAGACATACTCTTCTTCCCGGATGAGAAGCAGAGGACCTTCCCACGGCCCCCCAAAGGTGAGCCCTGCCTGTCCAAAGGGAGAACCCTTCCTTTGCTATTAAGGCCTTCTCCTGTGTTCAGGACCCGTGGTGCTGGACAGCCTCCCCAAAGGACAGGCTCCTCACACGCACACACAGGGGTCACATCCAGGTGTCACGGACCTCTGTGGTCTCACACCTGCTCTGGGCTRCCAGTGTTGGGGATGGGGCCAGGGAGGAAGGCCTACTGTGGCACTCAGCCATGCTGTCCTCCCTCCCCTGTCCTCACACCTCTGCCCAGGCCACAAACCTCCTCGAGGGGCAGGCAGCTCACTGAAGCCAGCCTTCAGACTCTCCTCCGTGTTAGAGTCCATCCACGACCGCCTCAAGTTCCTGTCAGGTTTGTGCACTTTTGATACCTCTTGGACCCCTGTGGGCTCTCCTTCTGCTCCTTGGGTGTGCCCTTCCTGTCCAGGGCTCTCCAGGGCTCTGTGGGCACCAGGAAGTGCCAGCTCTCTGTCCCCATAGATGGGCCACTTGAAGAGTTGGTTGTCACTGAAGACTTCCAGGGCCTGCAGGCAGAGGTGCAGGCTGGCTCTGAGGAACTGGAGCACATGGAAAAGAACCTGAGACAGCAGCTGCTGGGGGCCCTGGGGAGGATCCTGAAGGACTCGCTGGCCCTGCAAGCTTTAGAGTCCTCAGTAAGTAGGGCTGGGTGGCGGTGGCAGGGTCTGCCCAGCCAGCTCAGGCTCACGCACCCCGTCTGTGCCCCAGCTGGAGCAGGGCCTATGCTATGGCGGGCAAGTGGAGCAGCTGGATGGTCCGGCAGGTGCTGTCCTCGAGTGCCTGGTGCTCCCCTCCAGGATGCCTGTGCCAGAACTTGCCGCCCCTGTCTTCTACTTGTTGGGGGCACTGACGGGTGAGTGACCTCTGGGGAGTAGATGTGGGACAGAGGGAAGGACTAGGTTCCCCACTGGGCCTCCCTGAGCCCCCTCTCAGACCATGTCTCTCCCCAGTGCTGAGTGAAACGCAGCGTGAGCTKCTGGCTGACTTGCTGGAGACAGGGACCCTGTTGGAGCAGCTCAAGCTGGTGAGAGGGCACAGCATGGGGGCTGGAATGGGCCCTGGGACACCGGTAAGGGCAGTGCATGCCCAGGGACTCAGGACTAGCTCTTCCACCCATAACYTCCTCCCCTCCTGCAGGTGGAGCACCTCTTGCAGCAGAGCTCCCCATGGCAGGAGCAGAAGGCTATTTCCTTGCCCCCTGGGCTCCTTGGGAGTAGCTGGGGCAAGGAGGCCCCAGGGTGGACCCTGCTGGAGGAATGTGGCCTGGTGCTGCAGGTGGGCGCCCCCCATGTGTGCTGGGAACCTCAGGCCCAGGGCCCCACGTGTGCGCTCTATGCCTCCCTGACCCTGCTGTCGGGGCTACATCAGGAGCCCCGTTAACCTGCACGCTGGGCAGCTCTCCAGCCAGGCACCACCCCTGCCAGCCCCAGGAAGGCTGAAAGCCCATTTAACAACAGGGCCAGCTCACTCAAAGGCCCAGGAGTTGGGAAAACTCAATAAATATGATGTACAAAGGAAAGAATGGTAACAGTTCTGTTTTTGAGGGTCCTGGGTCCTCAAAAGGATGGGTAGGATGGGGACCATGCCCAAACAGGACTAGAAGGCACATGTGGGCCAAATGCAGGTACCCCCATGGTCTTGCTCCTGCCAGGGGAGGAGTCTGGACATGGCCACATCCCCAGCCTCCCCAGCCTGCAGGGTGGCCTGGGAAAGGAAAGCAGAGCAGTTTAGGGGAGTCAGTTCCACAGGGTGGTCTGTTCCTGAGGCACAGGGAATGGCTGCCTTGCTTTAGGGAACTTGGGGTACCTTGCTGACAGGAGCAGGCCCCTTCTCAGCCCATAGGCTAGGACACAGGGATGCAGCTGTGGCTAAGGCCCAAGAGACCCAGGACTCCTGGGACCACAAGGAAGGTCCTGGAGAGGTAAGGGTGACTTGTCCTAAAGAAACACCTTTGCTCATAGGTAGGAATCTCTGCAGATCGGAGGCCTCCTAGTCCCCATGTTCAGATCCCTGGGAATTCAGCAGGTCTCAGAGCACAGGCAGGGGATTCTTCCCAGGGGATCAGCAGCCCATGGCACCCATGTCTAGAGTGAAACGCGTGGTTGATGTGGCCAGGTACTATGGGTGCCCCGGGACCTGGGATGCCAGGTGAGTGTCTTTATTGGCAGGTCCACAGTCCGCAGCACAGCACAGGCTCACTCACACTGGTGGGAGGAGAGGGAGCTGCAGCACCCCTCTGTCCTGGCATGCATGTTGACATGCACTTGCACGACTTGCTAAGGAGAAAAGAGTAGGTTCTGCCATGCTGGGACATTGGACCCCCAAGAAAACCCAATCAGTGCACCTCGAACATCTCCTATCCAGGTTATAGAAACCTAAAACTCAGCCTCCACACAGCAGAGCAGCTCAATGACTCTTGGGCCCATGGTCCCCCTTTGGAAACCCTGTTCTGGAACTTGAAAGCAAAACCTGGGTGAAGGGGATGGGAACAGCCCAGGCCTTGGAAAGCACTGAATAAGCAGGCATTGCAGCACTGCTCCTGGGGCCCAAAGACCCCCAAGACCAGGTGACAGGCGGTCCTGCCAGCCTACCGAAGCCCCATTGGGAGGGTCCAACAGTTGGCTCTTGGATATGGGACCATTAATGAGGTACATAGCAACAAGACCCGTGTAAGAGCATTTTAACACCAGAGTAAGGCTGGCTAGCCGGGCATGGTGGCACAGGCCTGTAATTCCAGCAACTTGGAGGCTGAGGCAGGGGGATCACAAGTTCCAAGCCAGCCTCAGCAACTTAAGTAGCTGGGGGTGTGGTTCAGTGGTGAAGCACCCCTGAGTTCAACCCCCAGTACCAAAAACAAATAAATAAATAAAGCCTGGCTAGCCTATGGCAGGGCCTTATGTGAAAAGGGGAGAGGGTGTACATGTGTCAGGGTGCAGCTGCCCCCTGGCCCTCCAAGCCCAACCCCCAGGTGGAAGATTAACCATGAGTGGACTTTTCTGTGGGTGAAGGGGATGGATCCCCTGGAGGGCTGGAACTGAGGCGTCCTCACAGAGGGCCCAAGCCACCTGGCCACCTGCAGCTTCCCTGGAATTGTAACAAAGTCCCAGGGCAGAGTCACACTTCCARAGGCTTTGGGTACTTCACTTGAACCTCACACCACACCAGGGAGTACGCATGGCTGCTAGCTCCTGGGCCAGGGCCATGGCAGGCAGGTGGACCCAGGTCTACAACAGGCAGACGCTTGGGCAAGACAGCCTGGCTCCAAGCAGCTTGCAAAGGGGTGTGGGCTGTCCAAGTACCACAGGTAGGGTGGTGGGTGCTGCCTGCTCACCACAGCTGCTTCCCCGTCGGAGCCCCCACCTGAGGGTGGGCTGTGCAGCACGTAGGGCTTGCCCATGGACATGCTGTGCTCTGGGGTGCAGATAAGCCTGTGCTTGGAGGGAGAGTGTCACATGCCCCTCCTGGGGTCTGCTCCTGGGTTGCAAGGAAGGTGGGAGGCCAGGCTTGCTTTGGGGGGCACGGTTCCTGAGGGGGTCCATTTGGCTTTTGTTCTGACACTCACCCTGCACATGGCTGACTGGCTTGAAAGCTCCTGAAGGCCAGCATGGATGTCCACAGCTCCCACACAGACGCTTTTCCTTCCCTCCCTCTCGGTCACCAGATCTGGCGCCTCCCAGGCTCTCTGGCCTTTCCTTTGACATCTCTTGCATGTGATCCCTTTCAGCATCTGCTCTGGAGGATCCAAATTGATTCACTGACCCTCGCCCCTGGGTCGACAAAGACTCACTCACACATTGGCCTGACCCTACCACGCAGCCTGACCCTGGGGCCGGTCCCAAGAGCYCTGGCCCCAGGGCTTCCCTGGGCCGGGGGCCTTGCCTGCTCCTTAGCTGTCCTGCGGGCACTCGCAGTCAGACCCACCCCTGTGAGCTGCGTGTTTATTGTAAACGCTGTCCCATGGGTGGAGTGGAGCCAGGGAGCTGGGGAAAGGGCAGGACCCCATCCCTGTCCCTGAGGGAAAGACACCTGTGTGTGTGAGCCTCGCTGAGGAGGAAGGTTCCCTCAGCCCATAAGGGTAATCCCCCTGTGCTGTCCTCAGGACGGGTCATCGGGGAGCCTTCCAGAGAAGCCCACTGTCAGGTGGGGTAGGGGTGGGTGTCCCCTGGACAGCAGGTGTGGGCAGGAGGGCAGAGAGGACATAAACCAGGACAGCAATCAGGAATRGGGACAGGGTAAGGAGAGGTGATGACTGCCGGCAGGGCTGGTCTGCTGTGGTGGGCGAAGGCAGAGTCCAGGAAGGGGCAGGACAGCCTGTGGTGTGTGGCTCCATAGTGTCCCTACCAGACCCCCATTTAAGAGGCCAGATGTCCTCTAGGCCAGATGCCAAGCCAAAGTTAGGACAGGGCACACTCCAGGGGACTAGGAAAATAGGCCTGGCAGGGGACAGATGGACCCGGGGATTCGAGAGGGGAGGAGCTCAGGGTGAAATGGTACCAGCTGTCCCTCTCTGTCACGTGGTGATCTCTGGAGAAGAGTCCCAGAGCCAGGGGATGGCGTCCAGCTCCAGGCCCAGGGTACCCTTTGCAGATCTGCCATCGTGGGGACTGAGGATTGTGTGGGTCAGTGTCCCCGTCAGACGCTGGTCCGAGGGCCCTAGCTTGGGCTCAGTGGGTTCCCGAGCTGCCCCAGCGGCCTGCGAGGCTCCTACGCTGGAAYGGGCTGTCATCGTAGAGAGGCGCGGGCTGAACTGAGCGGGCGCGACGCCAAGGGAGGCGCAGGAAGCGAGGACCGCGCCGTCGGTCCTGCGAACAGGTCAGCAGCGCCACCTGCTGGGMAGACACGTGCGCCGCCGCGGCCACCGCCGGCTCGGGGTCACTCCGCAGCTGCCCTAGGTCTGTGCGCACACACACACGGTTCAGGGAGGGAGGGAAGGTCACTCGGGATGCCAGCGTCAGAGCCCTGGCTCTCCAGCATCCACTCGGTCCTAGCACCCGCCACCCCTTCAGGACCTCACGCTCTGACACGCTGAGTCCTCACCCTGGAACAGGGAATCCAACAGCTCCTGGCTGACTCGACTGGGACTTGCGTGATAAATCAGGAAGCCTGGACCAAAGCAAACCCCGAGTTCCGGCTGCATGTCCCAGAGGGGAGGGAAGGGTCCAGTTCATAGAGCCCCGGGTGAGATGGTCTGCGTTACCCCAGGACTACCTTACCTAGGAGCACAGTGGCCGCGCGCCGCAGTGGGTCCTGAGGGCTCCGCAGATAGCCCTGGGTCTGGCTCAGGAATCGGGGCAGGTGGTTGGGGTAGAGCTGAACCTGGGAACAGAAGGGTTGTTGCAGGAAGGAGGGCCAAAACTGCAGAGGCGAATCTTGGGGTTGGGGTCTCCTGAGGAGCCCGAGGGCTGGGCAATACGGAGCAAGGTCGTGCACCTGCCCCACCAGGAGCATGATGGTCAGGTTCCTATGGGGTAGAGACTTGTTTTGGAGGCAGGGGACCACACCCCCTCACCATCACCGTGCTTCCTCTACCTACCAGGCGCCGGCAGACACGACTTAGAGCCTCAGGACTGTCATAGTGGGCCACAGTGACCATCTCCTCCAGCAGGCCCCAGCGAAGAGCCTGGTCACAGCGGGCCAGCGTCCACTCCGAGCTCTGGCATAGGGAAAGGGAGCGGGGTTAGGGACCCAGGAAGTGGCACCAGATAGAGGGGAAAGGGTTGTGACCAGGAGCATTGGAAGAGCCCAAGGCAGGGAGGGGATTGAGTACAGCAGCCCAGGGGAAGACTAGGAACCTGGGAGCCCATGAGGTCACTGTGGGTGTCCCTGACCTAAGCTTCGGCGAGGCAACAGCGTGGGAGTAGGGAGACACAGTTGGATGAGATAGGGATGGGACGCGAGGGGCAGCTGACCTCAGCAGCGTCCCGACTGGGGTCGTGAAGGCGCAACAGCAGCGGCACGAGACTCTGTAGTATGAGCTTCCGCAGGGGACCGCGGAGCCCCACACGGAGCCCACTCTGGCCCTGTCGCACCAACGTCCCCAGGAGCCCGACAGCCGAGGCGCGGACTGAGTCCCGGGCCTGCATGGGAGGACACAGGCGGATGGAGAGGGAGAAGGGYTCAAGAGTGAGGGGGTGGTCAGGTGGAGCAAGGAAGGAGAGGGTCTGAGGGTGCTGACTGGGGGGCCTCTGGAGTCAGGGCGGCGGGGAGCGTGCAGAGAGCCGGGGGGGGGGGGGGCGGAGACTGCAGCGGGGCGGGGCCTGAAGGGCGGGTTGATGGAGGAGGCGGGGCCTTGCTCACGTCGTCCAGCAGCGGCGGGAGGCTTTGCCGGAGCTCCCGGCTCAGCAGCCGCACCGGAGCTCGCCTTTGCATCAGTAGCCTCCGCAGTGCACCCAGCGCTGCACCCACGAGCCGCGCGTCGCCCTCGCCCAGTGCGCCCAAGAGCGCCGGCAGCAGCGTGCCCACATGCCGCACCTGCAGAGACAGGGACTAGTGGCCAACCCCTGGCAGACCTGCCCTGGCCCCGCCCTGACCCGGTCCTCACCTTCCCTTGATTCAGGGCCAGGTGGCCGAGGCCTAGCAGGCCCAGCCAACGCACTGTGGGCTCAGAGTCGCCCTGCCAGGTCCGAAGCCGCTCTAAGATGACGTCCTCCCGCAGTAGCCGTGCGGTGGGCCGGCTTTGCAACAGCTAGGGAAGGGACACACAGTCAGCACGGCTCTCAGTCTCCTTGCAGGCCGGTGCTCCTTAGGGTTCAAGTAACGATCATCCCTCACCGCCCTTCCGGAAGAGGACTCACCCCTGTGAAAAAGGCCATAGCGGTGAGGCGCTGCGGGGCGTTGGCACTGCGCAGCCGGGGAAGCAGATCTGCGAAGAGGCCTCGAAGGTGGTGGTCGGCGTGTGCCACCATGGCACTGAGGGTGGGGTAAATGGGAGGTCTCCCTCCACTTGGGGCCTCACCCACCCTCCTTATACCCCTGCCTTGAACCTGGCCAACAGGAAGCCTCCTCCTGGGGTGCAGTCCTGAGGCCCCTCCTCACCTGGCCAGCAGCAGGACACCCTCTAGGTGGGTGTGGGCTCCCACCARTCTCCTCCAGCCTCCCGCTTGCTCCATGCAGGTGACCACCATGCGACCACCATCCCCCGTGAGGAGGGCCTTCAAGGCCTCCACCGCACAGCTGGAGGTAGGGGCAGCAGTTCAGTGAACAGTGAGGGCCAAGGAGGTGCGAGCATCCCACTTACCTCAGTGTCTCTCCTCACCTGGCATGGCTGTGTGGTGGCCCTCGGTGGGACGGGGCCCAAACCTTAGGGCTGTCAGGAGAGCGTGCCCCGTGAGCCAGTTCATGTAGCTGTGTGACCAGTGCAAGCAGCAGGTGTGGGTAAAATCCTCTCGTGGCTCCCACACAGCCGGACACCGCCAACATCTCCCCAAGAGCCCGCGTGGCCTGTGGAGCAAGTGGTCCCCACAGGCTTGAGCAGTGCCCAGGGCCGTATCAGGCACCAGGGAGGAGGGTGCTCTGCAGACAGGACAAAGCCTAGGACACCCATGTGATATTCTGCAAGATATCCGTGACTCAAGTGGGAACCTGAGGGCTGACTCACAGCCAGGGCAGCCAGACTGGCCTCCTGCTGGTGCCGGTGGAGCTACTCACCGCCAGCGCCTCGGGCTCGGGCCCTGCTGCTCCCTTCAGCGCCCACAGCAGTTGCACCAGCACCTGTCCGTTCACGCGCTGGTTCCGGCTGAGGCTGCGCCACAGTTCTGCCGCTGCCCTGGGGGCACAGGGTGACAGGAAGTGAGACAAAAATTGGGTGCAGGGCCAGTTCTGAGTGGCTGCCGGAGGTCCTCAGGCTGGGACCAGGGAGGGGAGAGTAAACCATCCCTTGCCCTCCCAAAGAAACAAAATAAGCCACAACGACTTTGGGGTTGGGATGCACTTTGGAGCCCTGTCAGGCATGACAGTGAAACACACCTGGTTCTTTCTATTTACACAGTAGCTCATAGAGAATAAAACCAAAGATGATTTCTCCTGGAGCAGATTAAACCAATAACTAGAGGCATCCCTGACCTGAGCCGAAGCCACTCTGCTTGCTCACCCACCCCAGAGCACAACACCAGGTATTTCGTGGAACAACCCTTGACCCTCAGGAGAGACAAGGTGACCCCATGAAGGACTTCCATCACCTGGGATCCCAAGACAGAAGGGCAACGGGATTTCACAGAATGGTAAGGTGGAATGGATGGAAAGCAGCAGTCGAGGGGAGGGAATTCCAAGGCTCTGTTCCCTCACAGCCTGCCTATTGCAGAGCCAGATGGCCAAGCAGGAAGGGGGAAGGAAGCCGCGTGGGGCCGCAGGGGAGCAGACGGGTCAGGTTACCAATCTGGAGGCAGCGACCGTGGCAGCAGCGCCCACACCACATCCTGCGCATGCTCCAGGGCCAGTGCGCTCAGTACCCGCAGGGCCGCCCGCCGTGGCCTCCCTTCGGCCAAGCTGGGCACTTGTGCCAGCAGCCCACGCACCAGGGCATGCACCTGGGTGGAGGGAGCAGGTGTCAGCGGCCAGAATTCCACTCTTCACTGTGACCCTCTTGCCAACACCCCACCCCCAACCGGCAGAAACAGCCCGAAGGGGGCATGGGTGCCAGGCTGCAGGCTCCAACAGCCCAGTGTGAGTAGGGAGGGAGTGGGGGCTGACCTGGTCTCCCAGTTGTGCCCCATGGGCCTCCAAGGCTGAGGACAGGGTGAGTGCTGTGGCCTGGGTCCCTGCAAAGCCAGCCTCTTCCAAGCAGGCAGCCGTGTAGAGCRCAAGGTCAGAGAGAGCACCCTCCTCCCAGGAACTCTGGAAGGCCTAGGGCAGGGTGGGGGGTGTATGAAGTCTCCAATCCTCTCCCAGCTCTCCTCCCCAGCCTCCAAGCTTGGCTGTAAAACCCTGAGCCCCTGTATTGCTCCTCAGCCCATTTTATCCTAGACACCTTCCCCAGTTACAGCACCGCTTTCCATCTAGTGTCTGGGTGACCTGGAAGAGGAGCTGTGCTCCCCAGTGGTCCCCACAGTGCCCGATCCCTCAGCACTCACCTGCTGGGGCCCCTCTGGGGCTGGCTCCTGGGCATTAYGTGGGGAGCAGGGCTCACAGCCAGCTGTGGGATCAGTGGTCCCACTTCCAGGCTCAGCTTCAGAATTAGTGGGTGCCTGGTCCTGCAGCTCAGCCTGAGATCCAAGCTGCTGGGACTCAGGCTGAGGGCCTGTGGAAGGGGGTCCCAGAGGCTGCCTCTGGCCGGACCGTATTCCTTCAGCTAGAGCTGTCAGGGTTAGGGTCCCCATGGGGTGCCCCCAGTCAAGTCCCCACATGCCCCCAGCCATAGTACGCGACTAGCAGCACTTGCTAACTGCTCCTCCCAGGAAATCCTGTCCAAGCTTGACCCAGAAGCAGGCCCCGGGCGGGCCCACGGACAGGTGTGGTGTGTGGTGGCGCGTGCGTGTATGCATGCATGAGCATGTGTCTGGGGTGGCTGGGGAAATGCCGAGCTGCTTGGCTGGTGAAGGGCTCCCTTGCTGGAAGAGAGCAGCCAGCCTGAAGCCTGGGTGTCTGTCATCTAGCTCTGCCTACCGGGCCCTAGGAGACTATGGATCCAGAAAGAATAGAGAAGGATCCTTAACCCCAACGTCTGACCCCTCTTGCCAGGGTAGCTGAAGACATCCCTGGTGAGGTCCCAGCAGGGTCGGGCCTGGGCTGGTCTGTTGCATTCCAACCTAGTCAAGCATCTGGGGATAGGCACTGATGGGTGCTGTCACCATCTGAGCTTGGGGAGAGTTTGCTCCCTGCTACGGAGCAAAGGAGATAGGAGAAGCTGCAGCCTCTTGCCCACCACCGTTGGGATGGGCCCTTCTGGGTCCTGGCTAGTTCTGACATAGTGACCCCTGGGCTGGCTCCTAGGAGTACAGGGCTGAGATCACTAGTGCCTTGGGTGCCTGGGTGTCATTTGTGCTGCCCAGGGTATGAGTCATATTTCTCTCCAGGCTCATGCTTCTCAGAACTGGCCTGATAAGGCCTTTGCCCTAAATCCCTACCCTCCACCTTCACCCAATCACACAGTGGGTGCTGCCCAACCCAGAGCCAGGGGAGCCGGATAAGCTGGTCTGGCAGAGTGCCTGGGCAGGTGGCAGTGCTCCCGGAAGAACCCCAGATGGTTCAGCATTCTCCCCATTCCCTCACTGGCCTGTGTACCTCAAGCAGCCGGATGGGAGAGGCCCAGGCCCCGTGCCCTGCTGTCAAGCCTGGAGCACCCCTCCCAAACAGTTTTGAGGTCACCAACCTGCTGAGCAGAGGCAAGACTAGCCCCCCCACGGAGCTTCAGCTTTGCCCCTCCTCCTTCCCCTTTCCCAGCTGCTGTCAGGAGTTGAGGTCCCAAGGCCAGACCCTGGCTGGTCTGTGACACTTGCTAGGATCATGCAATAGCAGGGGACACCTGGGCTCTCCTTGGCTTGGGAGGCTTGAGACATCCCTACTGCTTCTGAGCCCAGGGACAGTGACCTCAGCAGGTGTGAGAGACAGAGCCATGCTTGGACTGTCTGATGCCCCTCTCCCCCATCTGCCCTCTGGCAGGAAAGGTCTTCCACAGTAACTCCTCCAACTTTGAGGTAGACACCAAAGCCCTCCCTCTCTTGGCCTGAGGCTCCAGCCTCAGCTCTGGTCCAGCCCCTGAGCCTGGGGTGCTCCAGGTGACCTCCACATTCCTGACTCCAGCCCGGCCCCCAGACCAAGAGAGAAGCAGGCTGAATGAATAAATGACACGTGACAAGTTGTAGGGACAATGAAAGATTTATGTTGTTTCCGGGCAGCACTCCCCCCGACCCCAGGATTCTCACAGGAGGCCTCCAGCACTCAGACTGTCCACCAGGGCCCGAAGCTTTTCAGAGAGAGCAACCTGTGGGAGACAGGAGGGGGCTGGCAGGTGGATGGTGGAGGGTGGGGTGTCCGTACACAGGGCTGCCCACCCGCAGGCCTTCTGCCCACCTGGTACAGTGCAGGGCTCTGCAGCCGTCTGTGCGCAGGGCTGAGGCGGCTCAGGGACTGCTGGGCAAAGGCTCTGGACTCTGACAGGGACGGGAGCGGCTCACACAGCTGCAGGAGAGGGGTAGAAGCAGGGCTTGAGAGTGGCTGGGGGTTGGGTCTCAGCTGGACTCAAAGTGTGAGGAGCAGTCACCTCTCCCAGGCGCAGCCAGAGTCGCAACAGGGGCTCCACCTGGGCGGGCCTCACGGTGCAGGGCTCTTGAGCCCCTCGAGGCCAAACCCTCAGCTCCTGCCCAGCCTGGGGCGGTGGCTCTTCTGCCAACTGAAGCAGGTCCATCAACAGAGACCCTGTGTGGGCGGGGGGCAAGAATAACAAACGTGTGGTGGGGATCCGGGGCCTTGAAGAAGAGCCCCAGGGACAGGAAGGGGCTCACCATCAGAGCCAAGGAGCCGGAAAGCAGCCTTGCTCCCTGGCAATGTCTGTTTCTCAGGGTCCTCGGTCAGCTTCATTCGAGGTTGACCTCCCACAGACACCAGCTACAGGGAGACAGTGTTGGGATAGCTGGACCCCTGTCCTCTACCTGCCACAATCTCCTGGACCCACCCAACGTTGGCCCAGACACTGTCCCCACCTTGTAGACGCAGCCAAGGGAAGGCTGTTGGGGACAGGTGACCACACTGGTGCCAATGCCAATGACATTTACCTCACTGCCCTGGGGGGAAGAGGTAGAAATGAGCCCAGCCAGGACCTATAGGTTACAGACCCTTCAGACCACCCTCCATCTACCCACTTCCACCCCACCTCCTGGGCCAGTCGGGCCAGCTCTTTCTCATCAATATTGTTGCTGACAGCGATGGGGACAGCCTCCAGCCAGGGCACCTGGAACCTGTGTGTGATGGGATTTGGGGACAGCCCCTTAGACCTTCCCGATTTACCTGGGCCTCCCTCCCCACCCCAGTCAGTCACATTCACATTGGTCCTTAGCTTCAGAGACCCTGGTAGACCCACCTCATGCCTCCCTTCCAGGGCCTGCTCTGTTGCCCCTAAAACAAGCCCAAAGCCTTCGCTGTGGGGAAAAAAACACTGTTCCTCCCTGCCTCTACCCCCCATCTCCCAGCTCCCCACAGGGCCTCCTACAAGGCATGCCCCCTGGCGGGGGACTCACTGGGCAGCAGTGGTCCGGAAGACCCTGCGGATCTCCTGAGCCTGCTGAAGTAGGTCACCACTGTCCAGCCTCACACCCACTGCCCTGTAGCCCAGCTCCCCCAGTGCCAGGGCTACTGCCAGGAAGTTAGGAAGACCACTCCTGCAGGCATAAACAAAGGGTTAGGGGCTGCAGCTGCTCTGCCAGGCCAACCCTGGGGAAAGCCTGCAGCTCACCTCCGCACACTGTAGGTGTCTAAGAGGCCCTGGAAGGCCCGGGGAAAGGCCAGAGCATAGGCCACAAAAGCTGCCTGCTCCCCCAGGTGGGGCTCTTGCAACCCCAGCCCCAGGTGTGCACACACTCGCTCCAGCCACAGCTTTACCCTGGCAACCAGGTCCACCCTGGGGCCTTTGCCAGCAGCTGGAGCCAACATCTGCAGAGACAGGTCAGTGAAGGATAGACCCTGTGGGCAGTGTGAGCTTGGGAGTGGCTGATATACCCTGCCCTGAGGGCAAAGGTAATGCCACCAGCGTGCCGGCTTCCTGAGGTGGCATCTGTGTATAGGCAGCTGGGCCCAGGGACAAGGGACAAGGGTTGGTCTTGAGGTTTGCCCTCTGAAGTACAGCAGGGTTAAGAAGAGGTACTGACCGGGTCAGGGGGCACCTCATTGCCTGAAAATGAAGTGATGAAGGAGTGGGCCAGGGTTCCAGCCATCGGCACACCCCGCAGCTGCCCAGCAAGTACGTTGCTGCTGCTGTCAAACCCTGGGCAGAAAAGTCAGGCTGGCTTGTGGGCTCTGGGCTGTGGTGGGGCTTGCTCCTTCCCAGCCCTGGCCTCCCCCATTCTCACCGCCCAGGTAGCTGTAGGTGGAGGCTGTGAGACCCCCATCTGGGCCCTGAGCACGCCGCAGGCCAAGCTCCAGCAGTCGCTTATCTGGCCCTGCAATCAGGCGAAGCCGGGCTGCGTTGGTGGCGACCAGACTGTGGCAAGTGACAGGCCAGGGAACCGAGTGAGGCTGTTACTGGGGGCCTGGAGTTCCAATCCAGAGCTCCACCTCAGCCCTCCCACAGTCCCTCCTGGAGGCCAGCCCTCCAAGGATCCCAGTCCAGCGCTCTATCCCAGGGGCTAGGCCTATTGGGGCTTCCTGAAGACTCAGGTCCCACCTGGCATAGCTGACCAGGCAGAGGAGCGGCGTCTCCAGCAGCTGCACCAGCAGGAGCGGCCCTGAGACCTGAAGCAGCGGAACCTGCGGGGAGGGTAGTCAACTCCACTTGGCCGACGCACCTCGGGTCACCCCCTCCACCCCTTCACCCGCACTCACGCCTGGGAAAGCAAGGGAGCCCTCAGGAAGGGCTCGCACGGTCACCCCGGAGCAGTCAAGGGCCCGAAGGTGCTTGAAGAACGCAGGGTCCGTGTCTGGGGGCAGCATCGAGGCCAGGAACTGCACGTCTGGGGAGGACAGAGGCACTTGTGCAGTAGGGGGTCTMGCGGGGTTGTGGAGGGGCGTGGGGCTTCTGGTGGGAATGGGACTGTCCTGTAGGRTCGCGTGGGCCTCGCTGGGCGCGTGGCTACCTGCGTCCAGAAGACGGAAGGTGCGCAGAAAGCGCATGCAGTCGCGCAAGCCCGCGGCCAGGGCGAAGGAACCGCCGAATGGGCAGCGGCGGAAGAAAAGCTCGAACTCGGCAGGGTCGAGCGCCCGGCCTGCCCGCCAGTAGCCCAGCGCCATGGTGGCCTGGTAATAGTCGGTGAGCAGAGGCCGAGCCGCCGCGCGCCCCTCGGCGTCCCACTCCGCCGCCATCCTGCTCCGCCGAGCTAGTGACGCGCCCCACCTAGCCCCAGTCCCATGACACTGGGAGACCGCGCCCCCCGCCCCCGCAAAAACCAGCCGGCGGCCACAAAGCTTGTGGAACCTGGACGGGGCGGGGACTTGTCTGTTGCTCGCCCCTCTCAGAACCCAATCCAGAGCCGGGCTCTGGACTAAGGGGCGGGCCTTCCAGCAGTCAGCTCCCCCGTGTCGGGTAGCGACTTGCAGCAAGGCAAGAACTTGCCAGGAAGTGGGTGTCACCCTGGCTTGTGGCCAAAGTGCAGAGATCCAGGATAGGCTGGGACTAAAAGGAGGTGGGTAGCTGGGGAGCTTGCAGCAGCTGGGCTGGGACACAGSTAGCCAGGACAGGCCCCCAAGTCTGCCCTTCACAAGTGAGGGGTGCCTAGGAAAGGGAGAGGGGACTGCGTGTTGGTTTGTTTCTTCACTCCAGGCCCCCACAGGAAATTCTCACTTTTTGAAAAGGTATCACGTTGCCTGGTGGGTAAGAACCCCGGGATGGCAGCTCCAACATTAAATAACCATTTCCCCAACACCCTTTTAACCCCAAACCCATTGTGACCAGCAGTGCTGGCCTACAGCCCAATGGGGCACAACTCCAGAACATGACTGATCACATTTTGGACATCCCAGTTCATAATGGGACTGGGCCAGAGCCAGGTCTCCAGCAGCGGGGRGAGGGGGGAGAGGGACCCAGAGAGTTAAAGAGGTGCAGCATGCTGCAGATGGTGGGAAGCAGCCAGTGTCAGGTTGACAAGGGGGTGGGTTCCACCTTGTAAAGCAGCAGGGCCAGGACACCTGCTGGGATCAGGGACAAGAGGCAGAGCAGAGAAAGGAAAGGGAGAGGGGGGTTGCTCTTCAGTGAATGAGCCAACAGGCTATGTCTGGCTTAAACTGCTTCAGACTTGTCACTTGCATCATAAGCAAAATCAGGTGGAGACCAGAGCAGAGGGCAGGTGAGCTAGGGGTGAGGTCACATGACCACACAAAGCTGTGGAGCTCCCAGTGCTGTGTAGGAGGGGCAGTGAAGGGGCAGAGACCATCAGGGACAAGTGTAGGCCTGGCGCCAACCAAATGACAGGACAGGAGTCAAGAGTGCTGAGTCTCAGTCTTTAATCTCTGTAGGTCCTCACACAATGTGTGCTTGGCTCAGATCTTGTTGAAAGCTGCAATGTCGACACTCTGCACCTGTGGAAGAAATGGGTACCATCAGAGGCTCGTTTCCCCAAGGCCCACTGGCTCCAGTGCCTGTGCAGTAGGAGCGCAGTGGGGCTCCATTCAGGGACCCATTCATCACTGATGGGGCAGCAAGTGCAGCAGTGGGGTCCCAGGTTCCGCCCAACTGCTCACCACCCCTTGCCCCTTACTCACGTGCTCCTCAAACTTGGTGATCTGCTCCTCCAACAGGTCGGTGCCCACCTTGTCATCCTCCACGACACACTGGATCCGCAGCTTGCGGATGCCATAGCCCACAGGTACCAGCTGAGAGCCACCCCAGACCAGCCCATCCAGCTGGATGGAGCGCACACAGGCCTCCAGCTGGGCCATGTCTGTCTCATCATCCCACTGTGAGAGAGTGGAGGAAGGCAGAGTGAGCCACCCAGAAACCCCCAGAGCACCAGGGGAGAGCCCACCCCTCCTTGGCCTTGAACCACCATAAAGACATAACTCTGTTTCTTTTGAAGGGCTCTTGGAAACAGTCCCACCGGCCCCATGTTTCTGTTCTTATCCCAAGATTTCTAATCTTGACTTCCCACCAGGAAGAGTCAGAGGCTGAGGCTGTGGGCAGGCCACGATATCCTGCGGTTGAGGGGACTCCTGCCCTCCCCGAGTCCCTCCCTACCCCCACTCACAGGTTTGACATCCAGGAGGATGGAAGACTTGGCCACCAGCAAGGGCTTCTTGGCCTTCTTCTCTGCATACTGCCGCAGCCTTTCCTCCCGCAGTCGAGCTGCCTCCTTGTCCTCCTCCTCGTCACCGCTGCCAAACAGGTCAATGTCATTGTCCTCGTCGTCCTCTGCAGGTGTGGCAGCCTTCTTGGCTGGGGGTTCCACTTGGCGCATGGGAGACACGTGCTGCCACAGGTGAGGAGAGGCTGAGACCCAGCCAGGCCTCTCCTCTCTGCTGACCCTAGGCATCCCAAGGGCTTGGGCTCAGGGTCCACAAGAACAGCCCCCCCAGGTGAGGATAAGCTCCCTCACCCTGACTTGGGGGTCAGCCTGGGCACCATGAACCTTTCTGGGCCCTACTWCCTCACTGCTGACCACAGCAAGAGGTGTGAGCCAGGAGGGTGCTCACCTGGGTTTGAGGGGCTGTGGCTCGATGGGTGGGCGAGCTCTTCTCCAGCATGCTCAGCCGGGCCTCCAGCCTAGCGATGGCCTGCTGCAGGTCCTGCACCACTGTGGGTACAAGGGGACAGGGTCGGATGGCAGGTCTGGGGTGGGGGGGAACCCAACCATCAGGCCCAGGCCTCACCGCTTCGCAGGTTCTGGTTCTCTRCTTCCAGGCTGGCAATGCGTACAGCCAGCTCACTGTGGTCTCCACCAGGCCCGCCAGAGGCTCCAGGGCCTGAGCTCTGCAAGGCAAGGGAAGGGGAGCTTAGTACCCAGCTGTGCCTAGGGCCCCTCAATCAGCCATTCAGAAGCAGAGTGCCATCCTGGGCMAGAGGCTCAGGATAGTCCTCCCTGCTGAGGCCCACCCACGAGGGTGTGAAGACCTGTTAACCTCAGGGAGGGTGGCTGCACAGCCATAGTAACATTCTCAGTCAAGCACGAGCACAGGACAAGAAGCAGGGGGCCTGTGGCAGCCGAAACACAGCAGCAGCTCAGGGTTGTCACTGCTCAGTAGCTGGACAGGAGGCAGCAGGACTTACAGTCCCAGGGGCAGCCTGGCTCAGGGCTTCAGGGGGGCCGGGCAGCACCGCCTTGAGCTGGAAATGGGAGGGGAGAGCAGTTGAGGGGCCAATGGGGAAGGAGCAAGCGTGCAGGAGGCCACTAGTCCAGCCCCTTGCCTCCCAACCCTCACCCCCAACTGGGGATTGAACCCAGGATACTCTACCACTGAGCTACATTCCCAGCCACTTTCATTTTATTTTTGAGGCCTCATTAAGTAGCCCTGCCTGGCTTCGATCCTTCTGCCTCAGCCTCCCAAGTTGCTGGGACTACAGGTATGCACCATGTCAGCAGAGCTGACCTGTGAAGGTTCCACTTAACCATAGGGCAGGCTCCCCCCATAGGGCCTACCTTAGCTTCTAGACTACCTCCAGATGTTACGGTCCTCAGGCCAAGGGGGCAGGGGACTACATAACAGGTCAGGGGGTGCACGAGTYCTAGCCCAATGTTCTTGCAAATGGGATGGGATCCTCCAGAAGGATGGGAGGGCCTTTCTCAGGATCTGCTCCACAGCAAACTTAATCCTTTCAGCAGGAGGCAGCAATCAGGCCTCTGCCCACTGCACAGCACGTGGGCCCCTGGGTCCTATCATAGCTCTTGGGAAGACAGTGAGTGTCCCCCCTTGGGAGCTGAGTGACACAGAGCAGGATTTGGGCAGGGATGGCAATCAAAGTGAGGCCCAGGAGACCCACCTGAGAGTGGAAGCTAGCTAGAGTGCCAAGGCTGTTTCCAGGGCAGGGAATGGGGCTATGCCCTGGGGACTGGTGCCCACTCCAGTCTGTGAGTGGCAGGGCCTGGGAGCCTGGGGCCTCACCCACCATATACAACAGGCCTGAGGAAAAGGTCCCTCTGGAAGAGGCACAAGTTAGCACAGGATCTGGGAATGGTCTCACTCTGTCTCCACACAGCCTGGGCTGGCTCCAGGGATGGCCAATCAGGCAGGCGGGAAGACTTCCTGCAGCCCCAGAGCCACCGAGCCGGGTCTGACCCTCTGGATGCTGGAGCTCAGTATGCCTGATTCCAGTGCAGTAGTCTGTGAGGGTCTTCCTGGACTGAATTGGGGTGAAGGGTTGGGATTTAGGACTGTTGAGATGAGATCAGGTAAAAGGCAAGGACAACAGGGAACCAAGGATGGGCATGGTGGCCAGGCCTGTAATCCCAGCTGCTTGGGAGGCTGAGGCAGGAACATCAAAAGTTCAAGGCAAGCTTTGGCAACTAAGCAAAACTCATCTCAAAAAAAGGGATGGGATGTAGCTCAATGATAAAGAGTGCTTGCTAGCAAGCCTGAGGTCCTGGGTTCCACCCTCAGCATAGGGGGAAAAAGAGAGGGAAAAAAAAAGTGTGTGTGTTGGGAGAGAAGCCCAGCATGAAGCAGGAACCATCATACAGTGGTGGCACTGCTCCCAGGAGCCCATGTGCCAGCTGTGCCAGACAGACTGGCCCCCAGACTTACCATACGAATGCCATACAAATGCCCAGAGCCTGCAACACTGGCTCACATGGCAAAGTGGATTCTGCAGAGGGCATTAAGGACCTGGAGATGAGGGTAGGCCTAAGGTCACCACAAGGCTTTATGCAAGAAAGAGGAGCCAGAGAGGAGGCCAGAGTGATGGACAGCTGAAGAGAGCCTGTGCTAAAGCAGACARAATAGAATTTCTCTAGAYTTCAGAAGGAACCTGCAGACAGCTAAGACACCTGCCTCCTAAGACACATTTCAGACTTCTGATCCTGGAACCACAGAATGATAAATGCATACCATTTTAAACCACTAGATTGTGGCAATTTTTTACAGTGCCAGCAACTAGAAAACACAAACAGGCCTTGGCTCCTACAAGGGGGGTACTGCTAAAAGTCCCTAGAAATGTGGAAGTGGCTGTAGAATTGGCAACGGTAAGGCTGGAAGGCCTCTGTGAAGCATGACAGAAAAATCCTGGCTCCCTTGAGCAGGCTGTGGAGGCAAAAGCCTGGGAAGAGGATGAGAAGCAGCATCACCTTGGAGACAGAACACTAATGGCAGATGCTGCAGTGAGCTCAGGTGACAGAAGTATGCATCACCAGAGAGGATAGGGGCATTGGAGGACAGGCTGGCTCCATGTATCRGGCAGGGCGCAGAAAGCAGGACTCCTAGATGAAGGAAGCTGACCTTCCACTGAGACTCCTGAGCCAAGTCTGGAAGGCACAGGTTAGCTTTGTGACCCTTAC